TTTTTTTTTTTAAATGGCTACATTTAAGTTGTCTGTAGACTGATACTCCGCATCTCCTTGATCCAGTCTCAGAGTGGTGGACACTTAGGCAGTTTTCATGTTTCATTTATTGTAAACAGTGCTGCTGTGAACATTGTAGAACAGGGTTTTTTGTATTGATGGGTTCATATACTTCGCATAGATTCTCACAAATGGGATTACCAAATTGTACATTATTTCTGTTTTTTAAGGTAAATAAAGATCGCTTTCCTTATGGTTGCACCACTTTATATCCTCATCAGCAATGGAATAGGGTTTCTTCTTTCTCTTCTTCTCCAGCAGTTTTGAGGTCTTTTTAATATGGACCATTCTCACAGGTGTGAGATAGTCTTTCATTGTGGTTTAAATTTACATCTTTCTTAATGGGGAAGAATAAACATTTTGGCCTGCTGGAAATTTTATTTGATAAATTGTTCATATCTGCAGTCCATTTACTTAGATTTTTAAAAATTGTTGGATTCTATGAATTAGATGAATATATATAAATATATACATAGCTTGGATAGACATTTCTTATCACTTATTTGCTGTGTGAATATTTACTCCACTTTAGTAGGATGTCTTTTTAATCTTGTTTTTTCTTTTGCTTTATAAAAGCTTTCTAACTTGAGAAAATCCCAAATGTTTACTTTTGCTTTTAGTTCCCTTGAAGTCATTGGCTCTGTTGCCAGTGTTTTCTTCTATATATATATATTTTTTCCACTGAAGACCTTATATCTAAATCTTAATCTAGTTGTAGTTTATTTATTTTTTTTAATGATTTATTTATTCATATGTACTAACCTGGTTATAGGCCAGATTGGGGGGGGCAGTGAGATGTTCATCAGAAACAGAGTGGGGAGCAGAACAGGCAGATTGAGAAAGTATACTGCTAAGCAGTGCAGCGGGCGAGACAGGAGAGGTCTGCTGTGCCACGTGGGTCACCTCCCTGGCTGGGGATTGAACTCAATCTAAAGTGGCTGCAGATAGCTTTGTTGCTCCACCAGGGAGGGCCCTGGAGCTTTATTTTTAAACAACTTGCTTTGTTTTTACAACTTTCCAGTTTATTTTTTTTTAAGATTTATTTATTTATGCATACAGAATGGGGTACATTCCAGAGGTGTAGGGACAGTGAGAGGACTCACAGTGACAGAATGGGGAGCAGAACAGGGAGATTGACAAAGTACACTGCTGAGGGGAGCAGCACAAGAGGTTTGCTCTGCCATATGGATCACCTCTCTGGCTGGGGATGGAGCTTGTGCTGAAGCTCTTTGGCTAACTTCGTAGCACTTTAACCCATTGCGCCACCAGGGAGGGGGCCCTTTGGAGTTTATTTTTGTGTACAGTGTTAGTAAATTATACTAAATTCTTCTCAGTATTCTCAGTGCCTTTAGTTAAAGAGAGTCGTTTCCCCACTGTATGGTCATTACTGTTTTATAGTTGCTGCTATTTACATGAATTTGTTTCTGGGCTTTTCAGTTTGTTTTCAGTTTTGTTGACTTAGGACTTGGTTTTTTTTTCAGTTTTGTTGACTTAGGACTTTGTTTTGTGCCAACCTATGTTGTTTTGAGTACTGATGCTTTATAGTAAAGTTTGGAATCAGGTGATGTGATACCTCTTTTTTTTTCTTGGGATTGCTTTTCAAATTTGAGGCCATTTTCTGGCTCCATGTCTAGAGTATCTTTAAAAATATGGCTGGTGATTTGATGGGAACTGCATTAAATTTGTATGTCATTGTAGGTAGGGTCTTGATTTCAATTGATTCTCTTCATCAATGAGTATAATATATCGTTTCCTTTCCTCGTTTGTCATATCTGAAGTCCTTTGTAGGTTAATTTCAGCTATTTAATATTTTTGGTAGCAATTATAAGTGTTACTCTTTTTTAAATATATTGTCTGTATATAAAAAAGCCATGGAGCGCAGATGACCCCAGCCCTCGTGGCTGCTCCTTTTCTCAGCAGCAGGTTTTTCAATAGATATCCCTTTTTTTTTAATTTTAAAGATTTATTTATTATTTATGCATACAGAACTGGGGTACAAGCCAGAGGTGCAGGGGCCGTGAGAGGATTCACCAGAGACAGAGTGGGGAGCAGAACAGGCAGATCAACGAAGTACACTGCTGAGGGGAGCAGCTGGTGTGTCAGGAGAGGTCTACCGCGCCATGTGGGTCACCTCTGGTGCCAGGATTGAACTTGCACTGACGCGGCTGCTGTCAGCTTGCAGTGCTGTGTCCTAACCCATTACGCCACCAGGGAGGGCCCAATAAATCTCCCTTTTCTAAAAAAACACATAAAATAAAAAGTCTGTGATTTTTGTATATTGATTTTGTAACCTGCCACTTTACTGTGTTCATGTGTTGTTTCTAATCGCTTTCTGGAAGTGTCTTTAGGACTTGTTTTACTTGGCAGATCTTATTTCAGGGTTATTTGTAAAAATAACACCAAATGGCATAGGAAGACACCAGTGCCCTGCAGGCGGCACCCCAGAAGCCACACCGTCCTTCTGTCCTCACGCGAGCAGGTGTGGTTCTCTGTTCTGGAGTCTTTGTAGCTGCAGCCTGCCTCACTGCGGGGCGGGCGTGCGGCCCTTGGTGATGTGGGCACACGCACTTCCGGGGTGTTGTGAGCGATGGAAGCGAGAGGACAGAGCATGGGCTGCTGCCCTGCAGGCTGCTGGCCTCGCTAGCTGGGACGTGCGCTCTCACGTCCTGGGCATTGCTGCCCTGTGTCTTCCTTAGGCCTTCTTGTGCACATGTTCTTAGGGGCTGGGGGCCGACCCTTTTAAGAGATTCGTGTTACTTGTGTCAGGGTGCTGTGATACCATTTCTGTGCCATTTGGGGGTTGGTTGTGCATGTGTGGCTTTTGGACCCAGCTATATCTGCACCGAAGGCTGTGGCTCCCTGATGCCTTGAGCTGGAAGAGTAGCGTTTTCAGTATGTTTTATTGTATCATCAGAGAAAAGTGAGAGTTTCGCTGGTTTTTCGACTTGGATTCCCTCTATTTCCTGTTTTTGTATGATAATTAGCACTGATATCTCTAGTGTCAAGTTAAACAGATGTGGTGACAAATGGGCATCCTATCCTGTCTTGTGCCAAATCTGTGGGGACAGCCTTCAGGGCTTCACCATGGAGTAGTAGTTTAGCAGATTGTAGGTGCCTGCTTTGGCAGTGTGTTTTGTTGACTTACTTTCTTTTGCTTGGTTTACTTTTCTCCTTTTTGGGTTACATCCTTAGTATCTTTTATAGTAGTGATATCTAGCACTTAAAATAATAGCAGTCACATGGCATTTACTTAGAAGGTATTATCTTTTTAGATCACAGGTAGTTAAACTGTGATGCACAGGCCAAATGACTTGGTGCCTGGTTTAAATGGTATTAAAAACTATTTTACTGTGTGTCTCACATTTTTGTGTGATTGGAAAAAAAAATCAAGATACTATGTCAAATAAAATTTATATGAAACTTAGATTTCAGTGTCTGTAAGTCAACTTTTATTGGAATGTAGCTGCACCCACTTGTTTCTCTATTCCCTGTTCCACTTTCTGTGGCACAATGGCAGAATCAATTGTGGTAGCGACTACAGTCTGCAAAACGTGAAATATTTTCTACTTGGCCCTTTAGACAAAAAGTTCACCAGCTTATATAACTTAGTATTTTCAGCATTTTGAATGCTATTTTTTGGCTTCTGTTGTTTCCATTCAAAAGTCAGTGGTCATTTTGTGTTGTGATGTTGGTGTGACAAAGCATCTGTTGCTCTGGGAATTTCAATGCTTTATCACCATGTGCGTAATTTTGGTTTGCTTTATGTTTGGTGGTGTTTCTTGGAAATAAAGTATGGGCTATTTTGAAAAATTCTCAGCTGTAATTTCTCTAAACAATTCCTGTTGCATTTTGCCTTTTCTGCTAGGACTCTAATTGCAAGTATATTAAGATCAAGCTTGATAGGGAGGAAAAGTGTCTTTTTGTCTACTAGTCATTTCACCTTGTCTCTATCTTGTTAAATCCAATTGTCTCTTTTATGGAGACATCTTTACTTGTGCCCAAGACATTGTTACATTCGGAAGTTCATCCTCGTGTGTTTATTAGTCATAGTGAACAAGGAAGTATAATTGGTGTGTCAATTTTCATGATGAGACAAGTTTTTATGTATCATTTTTGTATAACTGAATGTTGGTCATTTGACCACTGTCATTTCAGGGATCAGTTTCATTCACGGATGTGACCGTGGATTTCACCCAGGAGGAGTGGGAGCAACTTGACCCCTCTCAAAGGATCCTGTATATGGATGTGATGCTGGAAAACTACAGCAACTTACTATCGGTTGGTAAGTCCAGCTTTAATAGAACTTCAGAGGCTATATTACCTTTGTTTTCAGGATTCCTGAAATCTGAGCAGTTAGAAGATACATCTGTTTGTATCTTCTTTGGCATTATCAAACCAGACCTAGTTTTTCATGTTAGAGAAATAAAGAGAATTGTGGATAGCAGTTAGAAATTGCCAGTTCAGGACTTAGGGAAATTAAGCAGAATCAAAGTCAAGTGTAAGTAATATAGGTATTATGAATGGGTTGGCACCTCTGAAATATTTTTCAGATACCTGAATCTCTGGATTACACATCTCCTGGACTTTTTTTTTTTTTAAAGATTTATTGATGCATACAGTAGCTGGGGTGTAGGTGGTGAGAGGATTCACTAGAGACAGATGAACAGATCAGGCAGATGTACTGAAATACACTATGAGGATGTAATGGGAGAGACAGGAGAGGTCTGCTGCTCCCTGTGGGTTAGTTCCAGACTGGCCAGAGATTGAACTCCTGCTGTAGTGGCTGGCGATACCTTGATAGAACTGCTTTAACCCCTGCGCCACCAGGAAGGCCTTTACGTAGTACTTTTATAGATTCCTACCTGATATTGCCAGGGTGCAAAGAAATCATCCCCAAACCTCTGGATTCTTCTAGGCTTGCAGTTAAACACCAAAACTGATAAAAGTTCAGAGTCATTTAATAATTTATTGCCATATATGTGAAAGACCCTTAATTCACCTACACAGGCTTAGATGCCATCTTAAATAGCTTAGCTAGGGCAAAGGAGGTTGAGGGAAAGAGAGAAGTCAGGGTGTTTATAGGAGAAAAACAAAGTACTTCTGCTTTCTTCACTGGAGAAGGTTTTTCTGAGAAAAGACCCATCAAGAGAAGTTTAGATATAAACATCACAAGTAGCTTCCACCCAATCTCCAGGACTCTCCCATGAGATAAACCTTTTGTGCAAAACAGGCTTTGGGGTAGCAGATGTTTGTGCCCCTACACCTCCAGCATCTTAAGCCTTTGTGTTTGTAATTGCTTTCATTTGTATTCTGGTTTGTAAAGCTGATTTGCCAGAATGGTAGCTTTGCTATTTTTGCTTGTTGAATTGATGTAATGGCCTCAAGGAAGGCATTTTTTTTTTTTT